CCATTGCTGGAAAAACGTACCCAAATATCGTCAGTCTTCTTTCATCGATAGTTTACTAGCAAGTCATACTGAACCAACGTTAGCCTGCTCACTAGAGCTCGTCGGTACTAAAAATTTCAGGAGCCGGACTCTGTTAAGAGAAAAAGTTCCGATCAAAACTTGATGGACTCTTCTGCCTACCTTACTCGTTATGAAGACGTACTCAATTACCTTGGTTTTCAAGCTGCTAACACAATTGCTAGGACCAAGGTAAGAGAGTCGCAGAAATCTCGATTTAAACTTACACTCATTATTTTGTTCGACAATACATGTGAGTTGCACTATCATTACAGATATCATGTTCAGATAGTCCCAAGAAGTCACAGGCAGCATGTCCTGATAATCCCTGAAAAGTGACCTCGAATATACAGTGGTTTGCAAAAAAACTTGGAACAATTTGTCAACACAAAGATTTAATATTTCCTAGATTTTTTGGCGGGCATCTTTTTGCTGTTATCGTAGATTTATATTTAGCAGGATATCTACTAAACATATTGATTTACTTTATCGATTTGTTTTTTGGTTATTAGAGCAGAGTTCGACATGGTAAAGCCAAACAGTACGCGAAAATAGCATATTTCTCTATTATATTATTGAAGCAAGGGAATTCGTTCAGCCAGAAAAAAACCATCGAGCTACAAACACACCTTTGCCTACAATTACCTATCAGTTGGAACAGTTCAGGTACCAAAGTTCTTTAAAGTATCGAACGGATAAATTATGGACAACCGTAAGATTGATACGACATACAGTCGAGTACGAGATCAATTCATTACGTGAAATTAGAAAGTCGCGATCGATGAATCGGCTGAAATGTCACAAAGCCAATGTCTCTTAATTGTTTTGATGATATGTCAATCATTTTCGGTTCCATTCGAATTCGTGCTGGCTGACGTCAGTCTAAATTATGAGAAACAAACTAAAAATGAACTTATATGAAAAAATAAGTTGTAATTAGTTTGGCAAATCGCATAAAAAAAGATGCAATTAAGTTTTTGAAGTAAAAGAAGAGAGAACACAATACTGAACGGGATATTGTTAAACTATGAACTATTGTGTATGAAATAACGAAACATTTTTTTCAAGACGATTAACTCAGGCGCTAATATAAACCAAATGTTTGTTCCAAGTTTTTTTGCAAACCACTGTATATGTTTTACAAAAAGCAATATATATAAATGACACATTAATCTAAAATATGTATAAACAAAGAGAAAGTATTTTTTAACTAAAAACGAATAAACTCATTCATTCTATAGAAAAGCAGTACAAAACAGCTGGTTTCTCTCATTCTCTTTCTATTCCTCTGTTCCACTTCTCGCTGCTTCTTTCACTCTTCCAAATATTTGACATATTAATTTAATGCCAGTGAGAAAAAAAGTGATTTCTTCATTTTATTTTTAAGCGAGTACAAATAATAAACGATGTTTAAATATTCTTTAGTTTTTTGGAAATATCTGGTATATGATAAACCACCTTTAAATCATCAATTTATACGTTCAGTCATTCAACTTTATTCTACTCAGAACACATGACGCTATTCTTTAATTTCTTATGTATATGTAATAGAATTNAAACTAACATCAGATTCGAGTTCCTTGACCCCGATTACCCTTCGGTCAACCCTTATAAAAAAAAAATTTTTTGTAAAAAAAGTGATCCTTTGTGTAAAAAAATCGATCCGAAAAAGATTTTTTAAAAACTACCATCAGATTCGAGTTCCTCGACCCCGATTACCCTTCGGTCAACCCTTATAGAAAAAATTCCTTTTATATCTTTACCTCATTCTTCGATCAATCGGTGAAGAGCGGACATACAAGCAATCAAGCAATCAAGCAAACAGACAATTTATGTTTGCAAGACTCTTCTCTACGAGAAAGAGAATAAGCCAAATGTTTGTTTCAAGTTTTTTTGCAAAACACTGTATGTATTAGAATTAACAATAATCCTAAATTAATGCTGATATCTAAGCATTACTTAAGTCAAATGCCAAAATAGTAAAGCATTAGGTTTAATAGTTGATGCAAATCCATAACTATTATCATTATTTTAATACTACTGCTAGCATGATACCTCTAGAATATACACAGACCCGATAATTTCTAATTATGAAATTTATTCGGTTCCAAGAACTTTTCAAACAGTAGTTGATTGACTGATATTTTCGTAATGTACTGTTGTATTAGTTCTTTATAGCAATACCAAATCCAATTACAGGAACTTGTAGTCATGATTTCTCTTGATTCTCTATCAAGTTAACAGGTTAAAAAGAGTCCTTGAGAAAGAGGTTGTATAGAAGAAAAAAATATCTAACAATCTTAAAACGAATAGAGAACGATTGAAGCCATGTTCAATAATAATTTGAATTAAAATTGTTGTAGTAACTGACAAATACTTAACACACTGATTTCTTTAACTGGTGAAAACTATTGGTTCTGATCTGTTTCTACTCTAAAATAAATCACGCAAAACTTACTTCATTTACTTACTTCTAGGGTTTTCTAGAATCTATTTGAAATACGATATAATAACTCATGAAGGATCATCAGTTTTCAGTTATATCGGATATTCTCTCTCATGACTGTTCCTCTAATATAGTCACGACTAAGGTGTTTCATAGGTTATTCGTAATTTTTGAATGTCAATGTTGTGTGGATACTAGTCTATCATTACTTCCTTGTTTTTTAATATGTTGTCAACTCGGCACGACACTTGAAGCGCACTTTGCAACACTAATTATATTGTCAAATAATTTCGCGCCTTATGTTTCGTCAGATCCAATAATTCGATAATGGCGATATAACATATAACTAATTATTCAAAAACAATCCTTCGACCTTTTTTTGAAGTATGTGTTACCCTCTTCTATTCACCTACATGAACTTGTTTTCGCTTCGAGAATAATCATAACAATAAATGAGTCACTTCCAGTAACCCGAACAGTCGAACATTGATATCGTGCAGAACTATCGTGAAATCAGCACAGCAATCATCAAATCATATGAGTTAAAAATAATAAGAGAAGCTCATTCAAAACTTTAACAGATATCAAAATCATGGCTACACGAATTACTTTGAAGCATGACTCTAATGAAGGGCTACAAATTATCTTTCGTTAATTAATTTCATTTCGATCGACACGATTGACAGCTGTATTATTTGTCCATGATACATTTTCTACGTCCTAGATATTGTTGAAAAACTTTTACTATCTTACTATCAAATTCATGAATCATTATGTGCGCTTTTCTCTAAGTTGATATATTAACCAAAAGATAGCCAAGACAAGAAAAGGATACAGGTAGATGGATCATCATTAATCTCGATATCGATCAACACAGGACGGAACTAAGTTGGAAAAATCATTTTAGAGAAAATAAATCTTATTCAAAACAGATTTAATTTCTCTAAAATGATTTATTATCAAGATACTTTTCGTGTGAAAATTGGACTTCGATTAAACAAGGAGAAGATTTCAAGAATTATTTTTCAATGAACATATTGATCGATTGTCAAACTAAGTTGAAGTCTGCTAGTATTCAATGTCAATATTTTCAAATGACAGCTTTGCTAGCTACTTCCATTTTACACTTAATCAGTGCTCAATCCTGATGATTGCACTAGATTCAAGCTAGCCTACCATCACAATGACGCCGAAATTCCTTTAGCAATGAATTACTTTCATGTACTTGTAGAATAGGACATTTTTGAAACAAATTACTCAGTTGACGTTTTTTAAATTTATCGCCTCAAATTTCTTCGAAAAACAGCAGCAAACATAGACGATCATAGCCGTCAAACGGTTTTACGAAAATACTAGGGTACTGTTCCAAAAACCTAACACGACAAATATGGATCATGCTAAGAATTCCATACTAGATTCTGTTTCGACGACTAAACGCGAATAGCATGAGAGATACTGTGAATAGGTACGTAAGTGTGAGCGTGTGTGTAAAGGGGATGTGACACTGTGAGACTGTGGGGATAAAATGAATGAGAAGTTCCATTTAATTTGACCCATATCACACCTTCCCTTTCATTTTTCACAATCTGCACGCCACATAGATACACAACAACCGTAGTCCTAGTTATATTTCACCTTCACCACCTGATTATCCACTTCTTCTTACTCCTAATCGTGAACTATCACGTAACAAACCTCAATGCACATTTTCCTTGCTCTTTCTTATCATATTTGTTTGCTTCCATGTTCTTTGACTAGTATTACATTTGCCTCTCTTATAAATATAATGATATCATAGTCATGACGAACATAATTCAATTTTTATCTCTCTATTTAATTCTAGTCTACATTATTGAATAACTACTCAAACAAGGTGTTGATACACTTTACAAAATTAAAAATCACAGTAAGTACAAAGATGATTTCATGTGAAATAACAACATTTTATAATAACATAGCAGTTCTCAATCGATACATTGATTTGATTCGACTACTTCCTTTATTAAAATTGTAGGACAAATATAGTAATGTCTCATGGATTAAAATGAAAACTTTCAATTAAAAGCTTAGCAAATTGTAATGACTAACAATTAAATATGGATGAAGACTTCAAAACTCCATAAACGAGAGAAAATTTGTAACCTTGTGTTTTTCATTTTTGTAAAATGTCCATTTCTTCTGCATCTTCTTTTAAGAGAAGAGTGTACCTTACTGGTATTAGGCATTTGTTATTACTAATTGTTAATGAGAAAAGTGTTAATCCATGGCATGTCGATATTTTTCTCTCATGAAACCATTCATATCATTTGTTTATGTAAACTGTAATAGAAAAAAGTTAACGAAGAGATGCATAGTTAACTGATGAAATTAAGTTGAAAGAAAACAAGAAATTCTCACAGCAACTAAGTAGCGTACATGAACAGAAAGACGCGTAACCGAGTATATGCATACTGGTTCTTAGTCTAGTCGTATAAATTTTAGATTAGTTGCTACCATAATGAGTGTATCGAACGTGTTTCATGAGTATCGAAAATGGTTCGGTCTCGTGTGGCTAATAATTGAATTGAATTTACTCGGAGGAAATATTCTGGGCTTTTCGGCACTCTTTGATATATTGCCAAAATATGGGATCTATTCAAATTTGTGTGTTCGTACTACTTTTGCAAATACTTCGAATGCACGAAATAAAACAATCAGTGAGAATTGTGACGAACAAACTGGAAAATATCAGGTATGTGTAAACATAAAAACCATGATTAATCAATTGTTTTCAAATATAATTTGTTAGCTTGCCCTTACCATCGGTATTTGGTTTTATAATTTGATGCCATTCTTTCTTGGTTATGTGATTAATTATTTTGGTTGTCGATTTCTAAAACTTGTCTCCATGTAAGATGAATCATTTCCAAAAATACAACAAAGAATTCTTGTCGTAGAGTTTTTCAGATAGTCGGCTGGTTAGCTTTGGCTTTTGTGGAACCAGGTACAAAATTAGTGATTATAGTCGATCATTTTATAAAATTGTTATTTTTTTTATTATTTAGGCAGAGATTATCTTGTTTTTATTCATACTGTGTTTATCTCAATTTCATCTGTTGTAATTGTCATAACTTCTTTTGTTTATTGTGGTTATTTCTCTTGTTATCGTGGTCTTGTTTCTTCAATTATTGCTGGTGCATCTATTTCATCAACAATGTGGTTTTCAATTTTTCAAGTAAATTATTGAGTAATACATAACTATTATTATAAATTGTTTTCCTAGGTAGTAATCAATGATGGTCGAACCGATCTACGAACACTTTCAATTATTTGGACAGTTTTTGTGATAATAATGATCGGTGCTGCTCTTCTCTTTATGGATTGGCGATTTCGACTGTTGAACTTGCCTTATGGATTCGTCACAAATTCTGAGCCGAACAAAGAATCAAGAAAATCTGTTGGTAAATAAATAATGATCGAATAATGAATGGAGCATCATGAAGTTATTCGCTACTTTTTGTTCTAGAGATCGACGATGCAGCACATGTGATTAATATGTCTTGGTATCGACATATAGTGAATCGTGTTGGTGTTTGGCAACATCTATTGAGTCCAATATATATTTTTGTGGTACTCTATTTGAGTGTTCTCCTGTTGCCAACAGTATTTTTACCAGTCACTTGGTTTCCATGGGTGATGTATGTTACAAATGAAAATGAAGATCTTTGTAAGTATTGATTTCATGTTGAATTAACTATAAAATGAATTATTGTCTAGCGAACAGATATACATTAATATTTAATTTGTCTACTATTGCTGCTCTAATTATTTGTCCATGTAGTGGTGCTTTGCTCGATTTTCGAGCTCATAGAAGTAAGACAAAAAAATCTCAATTATGATGCTTGACAACCAATATTCTTTTTTCGTAAATTAAGGTAATAAACAACGATTGTTTAATATTGCACTAATGCAAACAATTACATGGTGTACATCCGTGGCGGTATGCATCGTTCGAATGTTTAATACAACAGGTTGTGTCATAGCTGTAATAATCCTGAATTGCACTGCACGATCACTCATTGTCGGTGGTAGCCAAGCTGTTATTGCATCTTTGTAAGTACCAAAGTCACTTTCAACATTTGCTAAATAGTAGTGACCTTCGAATCAATCCATCTAATAATGTTTTATCAACTATAAAAATCGAACAATTCACATAAAATCGACTGTGTTCATTTTAGTTTTCCATCTGAATATATTGGTACTTTAACTGGTGTATTGTGGACATCAGCTGCTATATTTTCTTCCATACAATATGGTCTCTTGCCACTTGTCGAAGCTGTTGATAAAAGTTGGCGAGTAAGTACATTTCGAGGAAATATTCAATTTTACTAATAAGAAACCTTTCAGGCTTGGGCTATTATTTTGGCTCTTATCGTAGTCATGGCGTCTCATTGGATACAAATGTGGTATCTATTTTTCACATCAAAATCAACTGTTATGTCTAATCAAGTTTCGATACCATTCGAAAAATCCGAAGTCAATGGCCGCTCTGAATACTATGCCTATGACAATGATGTAACGCAAGAGAATCCGAATAGAGATTGAAATGAGCTTGATGTTTCTTCTCTTTTTTGTTGTTTTTATTAAAGACCTACGAAGATAGCATCTATCTACCAATAAACTTAAGCTCTTTTATCGAACTTATTTGAAAAAGCTTTTTGAATTGTTCGAAATGTTACAAGCAACATCTATATAAGATTTCTCAAAATTTATCTTTCAAAACTCAATCATTAAAAATCTTGCTTTATTTCGACTCGTGTAGATGATACATTCCTGTATGCTATTGATGATAATAATAAGTTATTGGTCTTATTAAAAACAAAATAAATTGTTTTTCGGGGAAATTTTCGTTTTTTTTTTCTATGGAAACTACACCAAAATAGTGGAGTGAATGTCAAGTAAAATTTTTAGCTAAAACTCCTATCGAGATATTGCTACTTAAAAACAAGTAGTTCTATATTAGTAGAGATCTTCTATTCTTACAAATTATCTTTCCTGAATAACAAGCCAAAAGTTTCCTCAGAAAATATTCTTTTTTTCTGTGTTCGACACATGGACTATATGAATTTTCATGGTTATATTCACATTTTAGTCCTCTCATACAAAATTATGTTATGAAATCAAAATGGTGAACTTAAAGAACATATGCAAAAGCCTTTGCGTCAATACTAGTTAAAATGAACTAGATATCCATATCTCATCTTATTGTCAAAAATAAGATGATGATTATAATCATTGATCATAAGAATGAAATATATCATTTTCAAAATAAACTGAAACAATTATGACAACTGTTTTATTCTCTCATCTTGAACATTCAACCATCATAATACTCAATTCTTTTCAGGCTCAATATATGACATTCTAGTCATTTCCACTTGACAAAGATGATTTTTTCCTGGTATTTCGAATACAATTAGCAAATCAATAAGTAAAATTCGATGAATTGATGTTTTACTAGAACGAAATTTTAAAATTCAACTTGGATGAATAGATTGTAGTTAGGCTCATAACATTTATGATTTTACCATTCAACACCATCCACTAGTGATGTTTTCAAAATATGAGATCCTGTTATTTTGAATAATTTTAATGTACTCTTTAGCATGATACTTGAACAGCTTTAGCAACGTTTTTTTCACCAGTTTAAGTCAGTAACTCGATAAGAATAGTCAACGTTGATGACTAAGTAAAATTTCGTACTTGCTTCTGTATATTCGGAGTCTCAGGACCAGTTTTAAATTCATATTTTTGTATGCGTACTCTGGACACTATTACTTTGTGAAAGCCGATGCGAAATAACACAAATAAATATTTATTTTGTTTTTCTTCGTCTGGTAAACATATACAGAAACAGAATTTTCTTCATCAATCCCTTTCTTTCATAAAGAAGAATGTCTGATAAGTATGCCAAGTTCTTTCAGCAACTATTCGAAGTTTGTTACGAATGAAATAAAAGTCTTTTCGTTTTTATAACATGTTGCATCAGTCAAATCACTGATTACTTCTAATCGATTCAAGTCTTTAGCACACCAAACAACGGTTAGACCGCCTTCAAATCCAAGTAAATTATCATCAGGTTTGATTATTGATGGATACTCTTTTCAAGCTCAATCCATTGGCACATGTTTATCGAGAAGGACAATCATCATATTCGTCTCGATGTCACCTGGATACATTTTATAGTTGTACTCATATGCGCCAACCAATGTTTGAGCTACATTCGATCAAAGTCATATGAAAATGGAAAAAAAGTAGAAAACCGCATAAGTGTCGCTGCACAACGTGTGCTCCTATTTCGATTGTTTATGATTGGTAATCATAAGAATTAAGAAAGAATCATTTGGGAAACTGACTCCATTTGTTTTAGTGAGATTCATTCATTAGAATTTATTTTCTTCTTTTTAGTTTATATGTATCAATTCAAAGATTCTGGTTGTTTATTTTTCTCATTTAACTTATGGTAGTGTTCCGAAAACAATTTGTCCTTTATGTACTGTAGCAAGAATGTATCGTGGATCTAGACGTGTCACAATCGTTGCAATAAGATTTCTTGTTCGAGCAAGATGCTTGACACTGAAATCGAGTAAGACAAAATCAGCTGGACCGTTTTCATAGATGCCACCTTTCTCATTTTTCCCGTAGATTGTTGGATAGCTGTTGATCGTTGTGGCCATGCAAAGAATTGCCTTTGGATCATGTCTGTTGTCACCACTTTGACTCTTGCATAATCGATAAGCAAAATCCATTTCAGCGAGCATGTTTGGCTGATTAAGCATAACATTGTCAGTTCCAAGCATTAGATTGATACCATTGCTTAGAAGAGCATGAATAGGAGGTAGTTTGAGACCAAGTGTAGCATTTGCTCGAGGACATACAACGTATGTTCGAGGTCGAAGACTTAAATAAAAAAATTTAAATCTTAAACATATAGTTGAATCAATTTAGTTATTACTGATCATCACATCGTTGTTGTTCGATAATCACATCAATATCTTCCTGTGTCGCTTCAGTCAAATGTACTACAATGTCCGGATCATAAAGTTCAAATGCTCGTTGAAGATCACTTTGGCGTCCACCCGTTCTAGCCAAACTCACACTTCTATAACTATCACTTTCAAGACAATGTATCGCTCGAAGTTTATTATTGTATTGTTTCGACATTTCACGTATTATTATCCATGCACGATCAGTTAAATCATTCATTGTACTTTCAGAAAATCCGTCGGCAACCGCTTCATTATCCTTGAAATTCCAAAGAGTTTCCAATTCAGATTTCGATTTTTCAGGTAACGCTTGCCAACTATCCGTCAAATCATCAAATGGACTTTGATCAAATTGAGATAGTACAATTGATTTGATTCCCATTGCCTGCTTCTCTGCTTGTCGAATTAAACGAAGTCCATCGACACCTTGTTCACGAAAATCCCAGTGCATAATAGTTCCTGTAGAGAGCATATATTTCATTGTATCATACATAGAATCTATTAGTTGCTGTTTGGATTGTTTTGCCAATTCGACATACTTGAAACCATCCGGTCGAAAGAAACCCTGTTCAAGTGTTAGTCCGGTAGCACCATCTGGCAAGCAAGAATCTCCTATATGTGTGTGACCATTGACAAATGCTGGTATGAGAACTTGTTTCGACAATGTATTGGCAAAATTTTTATTATAATCCTTATTATCAACGAATTCGATGCTTGTAATTCGTCCGGAAATTTCATTCCAAACCAAGCGTTTGCACAAACGAACATCAAGATTTTGATCATGTAGAACAACAACATTGAAAAGTTCAGGCATTTTTTATATGATTGGATTTTTTTGGTGTCGTCTTTGACTTAGTGGATATGAAGTGATTTTATTATATGAATGAAAGAGAAAAATGTCTTATCTACCATCTGTTTTTGTTTTCTTGTAAGATATGTCTCCTCAAACGTTTATTACTTTGTTCCCAGTTACAGTTTCAAAATAAAACGAGAATAGATTCGTCATCATTGATCGATACTTTCTTCTCCTATGATTTCTCTTTGTTTCATATTCCATTGTACTACTATGGGAATACAACGAGAAATTTGATCTCTTCACTATGAATGCTATAAATAAAAGCGAGAGAGATCGATCAGTTTTTTTGACAGTTATCAAATGACTAAAGCTAATCATTGATCGCGTACAATTTTTGTAGAGTCAAATTCGACAAGCGATTTTTAAATAATCGTCAATTTTTTATCTGCTATTTGCTGTTTTTGTTCTTTCGGCGACTTGTATCTTTGACATGGCAACTCAAACCTATCGTATCTTACTTCTAATCCCAATATTTACATCGCTTCCAAGAATAACATGACACCACAAACACAAGTGGTCTGAGTATAAATAAAGACGATGGTGTAGCATACAGACAGAAGAATTAGAATAGGCAAGAAACATGACAACTGGCAATCAAATTTCGAGTCATTTTTGTTTGTCTTACACAAACGAATATTTATTGGATTAAAACTATAGGTTTGAAAACTATTGCACCCATTATCATCGAGAAATATAAAAATAGATTTTTGAAAACTTATTAAATGATACATAGTAATGAGATTTGATTGCTGATGTTAAAAATATTAAGTTTACATACAAAATTCTTTCATTTAATTGCTACTGATAAAAATTGTTTAGGCACTTGTTCATTATTCTTCACACAATGCAAAATATAAAAGAAAAAAGTGAGAAAATGGACGATTGAAATGGACAATTAGAAAAAAATATTCTTTTTTGATTTTTAATGATTTCTAGAATCACGAACAATTTTACATAAATTCTCTCACTTAAACTTCTACTATGATAATCGCAATAATAGATGTGTTCGAAGATTTTAAGTATTAATAAAATTGAATATACTACTATCGAATAATATGAAAATCAATAAGAATAGAATCGAAGAATGGACTAACAACAACGGATATTTTGATGAAATTTTATCTACTGTTCAACAATTAATCATAATAAGTGAGATTTTTATGTTATTGATTTACATCATTATATTTGTTACTGTTTCTTGTATTTGTTTTTTTTTAATTTAAACTTCATTTGACTATAATCGATATGGAATGATATTGTTTTAAGAAAAGACAGAGTTAAAGAGAATCATTTGCAAATAGAAGATGAAGATTTTAATATTTAATACTGCTGTATAACAGTTGAATATGTGTCATTTCATTACATAAAACAAAACAAAAAGTAGAAGATATAAAATTTTATATTCAAAGATCCATGTCTCGAAAAACGACAATTATAATACTGTCGGTGTTCAGCATTAACGGGTTTTCGATGTATTTGCTATTTTATTCATAGTAATATGTAGATAGTGAAGACAGGAAATCAGTACGTCTTCGTACGACTAAATAAAACTGATGACTTTGTTATATGAAGGCAATTACGTCCAACTCAAAGAAAAACATGAATCCAATTCAATACTTTTTTTATCTCAATTTCTTTTTGTTTCTTAAATTACAAAGAATGTTTGAATACCTCGTAAACTTCTAACGGTTGGAGTGAATTGT